CTTTTTTTCTTTAGTTTAAATGAAACACTCGGGTAAAAGTTAGATGAGTGGCATCATTCTTAGGTTTTTATTAGAAGAACCTGGGCTCTTATTTACTTCATTCAGAGCTGAGAGTATCATGTCTAGGAATGATTACAAAGTGGCTGGAATAAACACGCTGAGGTTAAGGTGACCATGCTCTAGAGAGAACAGGGTGAGTCGCGGGGTGATGAACTATGAGAACAAAATGACAAATGGTATCAAAATAACAAGGTGATGCAGGCCACCGCTGGAGCAAGTTCAGCACCAACAGTGAGCCTGAATTTTATTTTCAGCAAAAACCTGCACGTCCTTCCGCACAAACCCTCTAATGAAATTAGTGGTACAGACAGAGGAGAGGAGAGGGCAACTTTTCACTTTGTAGTAGAAAAAGAAGAAAGTTCTGAAGAAGAAGGAAAGTTTAAAGTCACCTTCCCTCGGTTATAGATTTTTTTTTTTAATCATGAAACTTTCAAAAAAGATTTTTTTTTCTGCACATATTTTTTAAGTTTACATATATGTACTGTTCATTGTTTCTAAGAACGTTTAGAGCTCTAGCTTTTTAAACTAATATAGTTTAAAACTTTTTAAACTTCTATAGTTATTAAAGGAATAAAGCCAACCACAAAATAATTCAAAAAGATACATACATCCCGATATTAACAGCAACATTCTTTATAACTGCCAAGATACGGAAGCATCCTAAGTGCACATCAGTAGATGAATGCATAAAGAGGCAGCATATAGATGTAATGGAATACAATTCACCCATAAGAAAGAAGGATATTTTGCCATTTGCGGCCCTTCGTTCACTTTTTTTTTTCTTTTCAATTCAAAAACCAGAATTGTGTAACTGGCATAAACGTTTCCATTGCATCGAAAACAACAAAATACCTAGAAATAACCTTCACCACGGGGGTTACCTGTACTCTGAAAACTGTAAAACACTGACGAAGGAAATTGAAGATGATACAAAGAATTGGAAAGATATCTTGTGCCCTTGGATTGGAAGAATCAACATTATCAAAATGGCCATCTACCCAAAGCAGTCTGCAGATCCAACGCAACCCCTGTCAAGATACTCACGACATTTTCCACAGAACTAGAACAAACAATTCCAAAATTTATATGGGACCATAAAAGACCCCAAACTGCCAAAGCAATCTTTTGTAGGTCTTTTTTTTTTTCCCCTCTTTCAATAAAGAGATTTTAAAAATAAGTCAGTGGTTAAAGGGAGTGAGAAGAGAAAGTATAGGTTGAGGAAAGGCACAGGGGCTGCGTGCAGCCGAGGCAGAAAGGACAGTAACAGTAGGCCCCTCAGTTCTCACTGGCTGATCAAGGCTAGCCCAGGGGGTCATCAGGAGCAGGGCGATCCAAGTTCTGTTCACACGGCCAGAAGCTCACAGAAACCAACAGACCGTCATGGTGGCCCTGCTGAACCTGAGCACGGAGACCCAGGGCCAGCTCCTTTACTCTCCACCTCTAGAATCAGTATCAGTTCCTTTGCCAACCAGTTATACATGTGTTCAGCATTTCTGTTCATGTCCTGTACTTGTTCCTCTGTATCGTATGTTCTTCATCATATTACACAGAAGTCATGACCATGCAATGCTTAAGCATTGGCAGGTGGTGATGGTTTCAGAGGAGGAAGAGGAGCAGGCTATATAGTTCTGGCCCACAGGACTAGGCAATCAAGCTGCTGCATCTCAGTCCCCTTCAGAGGAAAGACACTACTAGTTCAAGTTCCCTCCTTGGGCAAAGGAGAGATGGCTCTCTTGCTTGGCCAAGGAACGCAGACTCTCTTATCCTCACCACCCACTACCTTTCTGGTTTATGCTTTTGTGTCTGGAGTCTGTCAGCAATAAGCCAGATGGAAGAGCAGGTCTGTCCCTTTCTGACACAACGAGAGAGACTGGGGGACTAGGGGAGGCATAGGGGACGAGAAGAGAGATGGCGGGACTCTGGCCGGTGCACACTCACCACTTTCTGGTTCCCGTCAGTATCGGTGAGCAGCCATTCGATATCCAGCGTGTCTTTTTCTGGGAGCCCCAGCTGATGGTGACAGGGCAAAGTGACCTTTTCCTCTGCCACTCTCTTGATCTCAGTGTGAGTCCCCAAAGTTCCAACACAGTAGGAAACTGGAAGAGGAAAACCTCTGATGAGTGATGCAGAAACTGGATGGCAACGTGTGGGAAGAAAATGTTACAACTAATAATTATTGGATGTTTCTGTGGGCAAAGGTACTGGAAGAATCCTAGACCAGAAGTACCGCAAGTGCCAGGTCTCACACTGGATCCTCCACTAACTGAATCCATCATCTCTTCCTTAACGCGCCCCAGATTACACTCTTACTAATACCTCTCTTTCCTACCTGACTGGGGTTTTGTGAACAATGAAATCACTCAGGTCAACAACTGTGTCTTTTGACCTTTTGCTCTCTGACTAGCAAAGGTTTCCAAAAGGACGGAAACCACAGGGGAGACAGGGGTTGGCATCCTCCCAGGACAGGCTCCAGATACCAGTTCACTCCTCAGATCCTTCTTAAAGACAAGCTATCCTCACCGAACTATGAGTCAACGCGGCAGTGCCTCCAGGAACAAGTGGGCTCTTACAGGCACTTCCTGCTTCCGTTAGGAACACACGTTCTCTCATCCCCCCAACTTCTGGCGTCATTCTCTGTAGTTTCATATCATATGGCTTCAAAATAGGAAGCAGCACTTTCTATCCAAAGCAAAAATCCGAGTTACCACATTTGGATCCTGTCCCTTCATACATCCAATATTTCTTTGGCCAACAGGGATTCAGTCCCACTTTTGGCTTTCTTTACCTCTAACTTTCATCTTCTCCCAGCAACTTTAGATTCTAAGTTCACCTTCTCTTCTTCCTGTTGATCTCTTTCAGTCCCTGACTATGAAATCTACAGTATTGATGACTGATGAATTGGTATGATGGTACCTCACCTGATTCTCGGTACGACGTGTCTGGCATTCAAGGTGTTCTTTAGCCCTGATCCTCCTCCACCTCCTTACACAGTAATAAGAAGCTCAGTGTGAAAAATGGTCTCTTTCAAGCCATTCACAATGTAACAGGATCATACAGCCTCTAAGCTGGAACAGCTCCAAGGGCCAGGGTTTGTGTGCAGCCCTCTCTCCTGCAGAGAACTCACTCTGTCACTTCAGAAGGGCTTTAAGCACTGAGGACCAAGGATGGATCGTGACTAACAGAAGCCCACAAACTCCCTCTCTTATTCCCTGTTCATTTCCCAAAACTGATTAGCAGCCAATCAGTGGGAAGGAAAAGGGCCAGCTTCTTACCTACAGGGGAGAGAAACAAGGAAGGAGGGAGCAGGGGAGATTGTGATTCTCCTTCAGGGTTAGAGCCCTCAGAGGCTCTGAGAGAAGCAGCAGGTGGGTTCCCAAGCTGGTGGCAAAGAAAGGAGACTAGGAGTCTGCTGAGCCTAAGAAAGGGCTCAGAACCCACAGGATAAGCCCATCGTGGGGGCTCACTGACGTTCTCAGGAAGGTTTCTGTTATTTCTGTGCCGTGGGCACTTCCAGTGGTGTCTCTACGCTGAGCATCAACTCTGTGCAGAAAGGATTATTACCCAAGTCTACTGAGGAAATGTAAAGAGCGGGTTAGCAACTTGCCCAGTATCACACAGCTAGGAAGAAGCAGGGCAGGGCTCCACCCAGATCTGTCTCACTGCGAAGCTCACACTCAGACAGCCATGCTATGCTGCTGTGCCCTTTTTTAAAAATTTTAAAAAGTAGATATAATACCTTAAAAACAATTTTTTTTTAAATGGAGTTACTGGGGATTGAATCCAGGACCTCACGCATGCCAAACACGCACTTTGCCACTGAGCTATACCTGCCCCACCGTGGGCCCTTTGTTTTATGTGGCTTCCTGGATGTCTGGTTCTCCCATTAGCTCATAAGCTCCTTGAGATTAAGCTCCATTCAGCACCGTATGCCCAAAGCACTCAGGCCGGCTCTCACACACTGCAGGTACTCAAAAAATACCTGTTGGATTTATCTGAATCAAACCCATGCACTGATTTTACTAATGAGCAAACTCAGGTCTGGGGATAAAAGGAGTCGGCCCAAGGTCCGAAAACTCATTTAGTGGCAGAAATAACATGTAAAAACCCATCTTTCCTCAGCCTCCATAAAGCAGCAACAGAGCAGCAGGGAAAGGAGCCGGCTTGCACTGTACTGAGCAGAGCCTGTAAGGAGGACCTCTGGCTTCCACCCCAGTCACCTTCCACTGGACACAGCAATGCGCAAATGAAGCCAGGGTCCCACAGCCCCAGCAAGGCTAGAGGACCCAGCACCAATCTGATGCACACATTTCCTCTACATCGAATAAATGCAAAGAATCAGTTATGAATGAACGTTGCGGATTTGAGCCACTAGAGGGAATCAAAGGCTCAGATTTGTTTGATATCCCAAAAGGAAAGGAACTTGGTGGTGGGTGGTGTGCTATGCCACAGCGCCAAGCCTATTTATACCATACCCAGAATTAAATAAAGCAGTGCAGGGACGGGGCCACTCGGTGAATATAAATGACTTTACCAAGGCAGGGAGCCTCAAGATCAGGGCGCATGCACCTCTGTTCCTCCCTGAACCTCAGTTCCTCAGGATCCCTGCATTTCTCACGTCCTTCTCTGCTCTTTAACCTGTATATACCCCTGTTTTACAATCTACGCAGACAAGAGCCTGGGCTCTGCGTACAACCCCCAGGCTCTGCAGTGTTCATGGGGACTGCTGAGCACGGGTCTGTCCCTGGGGTCAGCAGGAATCCAGACACCTAGGGGCCAGCCTTTAGTTCCCCGGGAATTGAAAGAGTCATCTTCGCTGAGAAAGACCTTAGGGGTCATCAAAATTTAACTGCAGTCTGGAGAATTGACATGTCAAGTCACAAAGCTGGTTGGTGACAGAACTCTAAGTAAAGGGATCATCTCCACTGTGTGTCTGGGACTCTGGTGGCGTTCAGTGGTGGGCAGAGGTGTGGGAAGGTGGTAGTGGTGAGGATGCCTCCATGTGCAAATGCAGTCAGGGAAGCCACGGGCTCCCCCTAAGCTGAAGCCTCTGCGTACAACTCAGGCATTTAGCAAAGGACCCTTGCGAGCTTGGGAGAACCACCCTCTCCAAGCCTCAGTGTTCTCATCTGCAAAGTGGGAATTAAATAAGACACGGAGGTAAAGCAGCTGGTGATGGCACACAGGAGTGGGGATACATTCCTTGCAACGGACCTGTTTACTCCCCTGAGTCGGAGGAGAATTTTGTGTTTCCCTTTACATGGAATATTCAAGAAAGCCTCAGGAGAATCAAAGGCATCGAATGTCATTCAGAAAAATAAAAGGGATTTTGGAAATTTTAAAATAAACTTACTTTATAGATCAAGAAATTGAGGCTTAGAGAGAAATGGCTCATCGAAAGGCCTCCTGGTTTCTACACTAATATATATAAAATTCATTAGAGTGTGTGTGTGTGTGTGTGTACACGCAGGTAAGTATCTTCCAGATCGTTTCTGGAACACTGTATATAATTCAAGATAGAGTAGGATGCAACAGAAAGAGTATGAGTTTGGAGCCAGATGTGGACTTAAGTGGCCCTACGACAAATTAATTCCCTGACCGCTCTGAGTCATTTTTCTTTCTCTGTAAAATGAGTATAAAAACATCAACCATGAAAGATTAGTGTAAGGATTACATATGACGTCTGTAAAGGGTCTGCCACTGGCACAGGGTATACAGTACATACTCAACCAGTGGTGATTAATAATTTACACATGGTACTTTGAAAGATGAGGAAAACCAGAAGAACGTGCTGAGGAGGTGAAGCTGAATTGTGAGGAGTTTGAACGTCATTTTGCTGGGCAACTGTTAATATTTGGCCACATTTGCTCTCTCTCCATGTGTGTACATGTATTTTTTCTGCTGATACGTTTCAACATCATGATCACACCTAGGAAAATTAATAGTATTGTATGGAGGATCAATCATTTCTGACAAGAGTGGTTAAAGGAAGACTCCGATGAGTGACAGAGTTACGATGGGGTTCTAGAAAGACAGCAAGGCTCTTCCTGCGCAGACCTGAGGGAAGGCAGGAAGCCGTCCTGGAGGAGGGGGTAGCTTGAGCAGAAGGTAGCCCCTGTCCTCTCTGCCAGCCCCCTCGGGCGCCCCCGCTGGGAACCAGGGAAGTTTCTTTTCTCTCTATTTTGCCTTCCCAGCCTCACATCCATCCCAGTCCCAGAATCTCTCCAGTCAGCTCTCTTTACGAGGTCTTCAGGAAAGGAAAACCAGATTCACTCTGAGCTGCTAAGTGACTGATTCATTTTACTGTCTTCTCAAAGACAAACGTCTATTTGATATTTAGAGAGAGCCTGGAGCTGAAGGCAGGCAGCTGTGGTTCTCAGTGGAATGTCAGACATCTGGGAATTGGTGCGGTGCCTTGTTATTTTTTTCCCCTCAGGAGGTGAATATTTGTTCCTATAATCCTGAAATTAGTGGTGTGGGTGCAAGGACCAAGGTGGCAGCCTGAGCCTTGGGCTTCGGTCTGGGGGACGGTGAGCTTCCTGCTTCCTCCTGCCTCCCAGCTTGAGGGTTGGTTTTAGAGGAGGAGGGGGAAGGTGGGATGAGGAAGATGGAGTAGGAAGTAAGAGGGGGAGTGGAAGGAGGGGGCATGCGAGGGAGGGAGCAGGGCTAGAAGAAGGAGAGGACAGGGGAAAAGGGAGAGCTTTGTGCTGATAGATGTTAGCTAAAGTTTCCAGGCTAAACACAGGCTGATTAAAAATGATGATCTCACCTCCCTTCCCCTCTGTGAAAAACTCTCACTATGTACTTCGTGTGTATTTATCCACATTAAAAAATTGTATGGAGCTCTTCATCTGCCAGGTATACAGGGAATACAGAAGATGATAAAAGTTTCTCCTCCCTCCTCAAACCATCTGAAAGCTAATGATTAATAACACTTTACATTTATTTAGCAAATAACAATTAACTCAGCCTAGTCAAACACATTATCTCACATGAGCCCTATGAGCTAATGTTATTAGCTCTGTTTCAGAGAAGAGAAAACTGAACATCACCCAGTCAAGGCCACAGCTGATGGGTGGCATTGGGGGGACAGGCACCA